TGCAGCCTCACACTGCACTTTTAGCCTGCTGCACTCTTTTAAAGTAACAGGAGCCCCCTGGCTCCCTGTTATGGGGAGATATTCACTTGCTCTCAAAAATAGGCCAGTTATAGAAAACTATCTTGTCATTGTTTTTTTCATTTTTTGAATGGTTTATCATTTGTAATGTTTTATCAGTGTGACCATTTGACAGTGTCTTTTAAAGATAGGCAATCTGAGCAGCACTGTGTTAACACTGTACCCTGTTATTCCCCATGTTGGATCTACGTGGCTATATCAGAATTCATCATCGCTGACCCAGAACATCTCCTAGTATTCTAGTTCTTGTCCTCACCAAATCCAAACCGTTAATGATGCTGCACTTTTTAAATGGTCTAGCTTGAGACCATCATACGTATCTCTCTCGTGACTGAAGTTAGGCAAGGCTTCAACTCCTTGCCAGCTCGAGATTTGGATTCTTGTCTTGGATTAGGAACACATAGAGCCACTATAGATAGTTCTATTCCAAATGTATCATTAACAACTACATTTCAAGCTGGTCTGCTTTTCACCACTAGTTAGACTGTAACAGCACTGAAAACTCACTCTAGCAGTTTTTTTTCTAGACAAGAGTGAAGCTTTAGTATCACTATGGAATGATGAACTTGCCCAGAAGTTACTGTTGATCAGTTGCCTAATTTGTTAGACAGAATGAAATTCAGAGTGACCAGAGGACTGGCACTTATCCCTGAAAGTTAATGGCCAAGTTGAATAGCATTAATTGAACTATGACTATCTCCCACTCTGGGCCCCAAAATAATTGTCTAAATTTTTACACTATGGTTTAAGTTATTCCTATTCTTCTGATACAGTGCATCGAGCTGCTAAGCAGTATGGCCTGCGAGAAGGAGGTGATAATGATGAGTGGACCCTGTACTGGACAGACTGTTCAGTGTCACTGGATCGGGTAATAGAGATGAAAAGTTATCAGGTACTCATCACTAGGAGCTGGTAGAGGTTTTTTTAATGCAAAAAAAGAACAGTTGCTTATTATTGTGCCTTCTTTTCTGGACTCCTTCCCCCCCACCCCCCAAAGAAAATCAACCATTTTCCAGGGATGAGTGAAATCTGGAGGAAAGATCTTCTGGCCAGGAACATGAGCAGGATGCTAAAA